ACACACAGACACACACACACACACACACACACACACACATACACATATACACATACAACAACTGATCAACATGATGGCAGCACAACGTACAGACCAGCAGACACACACGGACAGACCGACAGACATACACACTCGAACATACACACAGCAGTACCAATCAGACCCCTAGCCCGAACTATTCGACCCGACCTCCCAAGCAGTATGCGGAGAGGACAAATGGCAGGGAAGTATGTGTGTGTGTATGTATGTGTGTTGACAGACAGTCATACAACAATCATTTGTAGGGGTCGCATAATAAGCGCGCATGAGAAATAGCGCCTGGAAGGTTTTGTCAAATGACGAAAGTTACATGAAGAAGTTGGACCAAATTTGTGATATTTCCAGATATTCCCATGTGGAGTTTGCATAAATCGAGTAAGGTGGAAACTTCATTGGTGTAATGCTCAAATTCAAATTGCATTGATTGGAGATTTCAGGGCGGATGATTCCAAGGGAACGTCGATTTAGTTGGCCCCGCCTCACATAACAATTCTTACAGGGATCGTCTCACAAAATCATGCGAAATAGTGCCAAATATTAGCCTAGACTATTTTAGGCTATTCTCCCGTTACTAACCGTGCCATTTGACCCTAAGAATCTGACTTGATCTTTCGTTTAGGGAATGTCAGATTTTTGGCTCTAATTTCGTGTGTCTCATGAGCTATTAGAAGAGGTCAAAGCGGATGATTTCGGGGGAAATTCCACTTTTTGGCTGCTGTTTTTGATCTGGAAGAATCGGTGCGTACGTGCAGAGGGGAGTGGTCAATAATTTTATTCCCTCTTCCCTCCTTTCCGGTGAGATGGGAATATAGCCCGCGGCTGAGGACAAGGATCCTGCAGGATAATTACTGGAAGTTTTGAAGGCGTCTAATATAATAACATCGTTGGCATAAGTGCAACACGTTATTCCGGTTGTCCTTCCAGTAAACCGGGGATAAGATATTGTTGGTACTTGCTAACGCAACATCTCAAATGATAAGCAATAAACAGGAGATAATACAACTAATTCAAGTCTGAACTTACGACGTTTCTTCTGTCTCTCTTTCATATTCCTAAATTTCTCTTTCTAAGTTTGCTTAGAACTGTGCCTTATAGCTGATGGAATGTTTCTGAAAATTGATCTGTACTCCATCTCTAGCCAAGAAGTTATAAGGCCAAGAAATTGTAGGGGATGCCTCAGTGTTGGTGGAATGACGTATATTTGGCTCTATGAGTTATTTGTTTTAGTTATTTCATATTGAAGCTTTGGACTGGTTTATTCAGGAACGATGAATTTGAGGATGGAAATTTTTGATTTCTGGGCTTAAAATAATAAAAATGTCCCGAGATATAGTAGTAATGGAGAGTTCCGTGTTGCTGGTAGTTCCTCCAGCAGTTGTTATATCTTTGGCACGGTATTTTATCCGAGAATGAAATTTTGGGTATGAAAGATGAAATTCGAATTTGAAATTGATTTAAACTGCCAAATTTTGATGAGAATTGTTTAATTTGTTTTTGAATCATCTCTTATTTTTTTGCGAATTTGAATTTTACACTGAAATATATGAAATGACTTTGCACTTCAAGTCACATGTTTCTCTTTTATAACTGTGAGAAAGATAGGAAAGTACACCTTCATAATATGCACAAATAAATTTAAAAGTGCTACATCACTTGGGTGGTAGCGTTTCTTTTTTTTTTTTTTTTTTGTTAAACAATTCTTTGGACGATGTGTGTCCTAATTTGGTTAATCAACATGATTTAGGTATATAAATCGGAATTGATCGATCAACCAATCAGTCAATTGTGACCTTTATATAGGTGAATACAATGTTTAATCTAACAGTATTGTATAATATTGAACGGAATGATTTGTAACCATTTTTTTGCATAACTAATCTAGACGGAGCGCGATATTTTTTTGGAAAACTAAAGATTTTGGATGATAGATTTATTTTGCATTGTGTTTTCAAATAATGAATTTCCGTATCCCTTCTAGTATTCAAGCTTATTCCGATCCATTCCATTTCAAGCATTGACATGTTCAACCACATCGATGAACGGCGGAAATTTGAACAAACAAACACAGAACAGCAACGTCCATAGTACACATACAACATAAGGGGCGTTAATTGAAGCAACTTGAAATGTGATCGTATTATTTCCTATCTAAAAATAATATACTTAGTAGGTTTTTTTCTAAAACTTTTCCAAAAACTGACTAGTCATATCAATAGATGAGCAATCACTGAATCTCATCCGGACGACCAGGAGAGTGATGATGCACTTAGTAATGGACATCAAGAGGGATTTATGACGCTACCTGCTGTGCTGCTGACCGATTTGTTTTATCATTATTAGCTGCAGAAGACAAATGCATTTATCCCTCTGATTTGCGCGCTTTTTGAAATGGGAAGTGAAACAAAGCAAATTGCATTGTCCATCAATAAATGGTAGTTGCACGGAATCGAACATTCTAATGGCTATCCTTGCTATGACCTTGATAACTTCCAGCAGATCACCATCATTCGGAAACTTTTTCCCGAAATTGACTTTAACAATTGAATAAATAATACTTTTTCGATGCTTCCCAAATTTTAATTCCTTAATATTTACTTTTCGGAAAGACAGCACTATATATTTCTCTACTATCATAAGATTGTTATATCTCAAGCCTTTAATCTCCTCTGTAATCTGCACAATCAATTCCTACCAGATCCCGGAAGAATCAGGGAGAATTTAAGCCTTATTTTTCAGAAAAAGTCTCTTTAATGTTCCAAAATTTTCGAATTCAACAAAAAAAAAGTCTTTTAAAAATTGGATTTGTTACAAATACAAATGTATGATTCGATAAAATAAAACAGGTTTATGGCTTCCTTTTCCAATTTCTTCAATTCCCTTACTGTTCTACTACTACTGCCTAAACCAATGTTATTCAATTTGTTAAATGATGGGAATTTTTTCTATTGAAAAAGAATCTAAGTATTTTCATAGTATCTTTCGGGAATTCAAATTGCTAATTCTACTTTTTTCCTGAAGTTCAACGGAACATTACTCACTTTACTCAGACATTTTGTTAAAACGCAAATGATTCTGATTCCGTCAGATGCTTAATACTTCTTTCTTATCTCCTCTTACAGTTTGTCACCCATTAGTTTTTACCTGCTCGATGCTTCTTTCATCTTCGAAACTGAGTACAGGAAATAAAAATGAAAACAAAAATAATGCAATGATTACATCCATCTTCACTCATACGTTTATTAACGAACAAATCATTGAAAGCATCATCGTTAATTCTTGCTTCCTTACTGCTATATATTTTTTAATTTGTTTTTTAAATTTGTTTTTAAAATTTATTTTTTCTCAAGGTTTGAAATTATGGACGATGATTTGAGCGAAATGTCTTGAGGTGTTTTTTTTCTTCCAAAACTATTTTAGCAAAAGTTTTTCTATCTAATCAAAAAACTCCAA